CGCGGCGGAGTCGGAATCCCAGCCACGATATGACGATTATCGTTGGGAACTGGCGAAAGATTTGTCAGGAAAAGTGCAAGGCCCAAGTGCCTACAGTCAGTGTGCGAGACAAGGCCTGGACGACCTTGGGTGCATGTACCAAATAGAATCTCCTCCGTTGACATACAAAACCTATAAGTTCGTGTTAGGGTGTAAAATAAGCTCCTCCAAAATCTAGGGTTCGGAGGAGAAGGTCCGCATCACCAGAAGACCTCCAGTAAGCTGTCAAGCCCACTCTAGAGCATGATATCGTCCCCTGCACACTCTTTAGGCCTTAAACCCCCAATCCCTGAACCCTTAAACCCTATACCCTTAGATCCCAAACTCCGCGGCCTGAGGCCCTAGAAAGCCCCAAAGAACTGACCAACAAACGCGGTCAACGTACTAAGCGCGTAAGCCCCTAAACCCTAAGCCGAAAACACTTAAAAGTCGTGAACCGATCGTAGTCAAGCAGGTCACCATGAACAATATTTTTGGGACAGTAATCCAGATCCGACAAGGTACACCTTAGTTCCGCGGAGATCTGGTTGATACTTAGGCTTAGAACACCCGCAGGAGACGCGGAGCCAGGGGCACCGCACAGAGATCCGAAATCTCCGGATATGGAAGGCATGGGAGATGGTTTGGGGCTCCGAGTTGTCAGGATTTGTCGTTTCAGGGTGTGTGTGGGGGGCTTATATAAGGGTGTTTAGATTTCGGGTTCAGGCGTTTCTGTTTACCTAATGGCACCCTGGCCTTAACATGAGGTTTCGGATTTAGGGTTGCAGGGATTGCAGGTTCGGATATCAGCGGCTGTTGGAGTTTATGGGGCTATGCAGTCTAGCGCTTGGGGTTTTGATTAGGGTTGGGCTTGAGAGCTTAGGTAGTGAAGGTTCGGGGTTGTGCTTGATGTCGAGTTATAGACGTCGCATGACGGACCGAATGACCTTCCAACATTAAGCTCCTGTAGCTTATACCGTGAATCCCTCCGTGGCCATACCTTTCCATTGTACATGTATCCGGAATGCTAAATTACCCCATGGTCATCTATTCCTCCAAACACTAGCCTACGAAACTATGTTCCTTAACCCAGGTACCTCATCCCGAGGCTTCAAACCTCAACCGCACCCCCGCCCCTCCGCACGAAACCAAGCAACGAAATCTCTTTTAGCTAAACAATCCTGTTAAGGCACTTAAGGACCCTTAACCCCAGACCCTAAATCCTCAAAGGAAACTGTGAAGGAGCCTTGAAAAAGAACCACAACTAGGGGCCCTTAAGGTGTTTTTCAGCTGCCTCAATAAGCTTGCAACCATTCTCAACCTATTCCTGATCGTCCTGAATCTAGATATTTTCTAACATACCCCCAACCCAAACTATTAAGGCTCCTATGTTCGGTCCTTTGGACCCTTGGGAATTAAGTTCTTTGGACCCCAACTAAAACAACCTAAAGGCATCAAGCCTTTCAACTTTAACCTCTTTAGGCCCTGCACCCTACACCCCAACCCTTAACCTCCGAACTACTTAAATCCCTAAGCCCTGATCAGTCCCTAACCTCAAAACATGAAAGCCCTAAAGAAGCTTTTGAAGCCACACGACATCCTAAGCCATAAACCCCCAAACCCCCAAAACCTCGGGGCATGAAGCTCGCTAAGCCACAGCCCAGTCAGTCCCAGTATCCAAACAGCAGGGTTTTCGGTCCCAACTTCCATGCTCTGAATAGTTTCTCGACCCTGAAGCCCTACTATTTGGGTATTGGGGCTGCCCTAAACCCTAAACCCTGAAACCTCTAACACTAAGCCCTTAAGCCTTAAACCGCTAACACCCTAAACCCTCACACATGAAGCTCCTTAAGCCATCTGCGATCAGCCAGGAGGCTATCGGCCCGGAGGCTTTGCAAGCCTACGACGCCTTTGTGGAGGATCAGGTCTCGGGCCCTTCGGGCTTTAGGCTTCAGGGCTCTCGGTTCTTGGGGGCGTTAATGGTTTAGGGTGCCCTGCCCTGCCCTGCCCTGCCCTGCCCTGCCCTGCCCTGCCCTGCCCTGCCCTGCCCTGCTGCCCTGCCCTGCTGCCCTGCCCTGCCCTGCCCTGCCTGCCCTGCCCTGCCCTGCCCGCCCTTGCCGTGCCCTGCCCTGCCCTGCCCTGCCCTGCCCTGCCCTGCCCTGCCCTGCCCTGCCCTGCCCTGCCCTGCCCTGCCCTGCCCTGCCCTGCCCTGCTGCCCTGCCCTGCCCTGCCAAGCCCCCCGGGGCATGTATATACGACCAGCAGCTCAGCGAGCGTGCACACGATTGCGGAGGTCATTTCGTGGGACAGGGTGCTGATAGTTACAGCTACTTTTCTCTTGTTCAGGTTGTTGTACCTCGTACTGGTAGTAGCAGTGCTAAGCTTTCTAGTGCTCGAGGATCAGGACACTCCTGATCTCGAAGGCATGCAACAGTACTGGACGAGATGTGGGAAGTCTGAGACTTAGGTAAGATGTAAAATGCTCTTGCAATTTACCGCCACAGAAACCACCCCATTCATGCTTTCGCTTCGAGTCCGACATGACACAGCCGCAGGCAAATTTCGCGAGGGATCCATGTTTCCAGTGCGCGGCTGCGTTTCAAGCTTTTTTGGCACAAGTTCTCTTGGATCCAGGCAGAGCTCTCAGATCGCCCCTTGGTCCTTGGGTTGAGTGTGGCAGCTGCAAGGCTCTGCCTCCAGCTCCGTGCAGCAAATGCTCACAAGGAGCGGACATGAGCGGACCATGTCTTTCCGCCGCATGTATTGCCAAAGCACCGAATACTTGAAGGCACGATCGGCGAGAGCGTGCCAGGATGTTGTGTGCGAGCAATGCGGAGCAATGGGGAGAAGATGCAAGGTGCTCCAGTACGTTGTTACGTTGTTGTAGATGGCACATCCTGATTGTGGCTGGGCACGGGCTGCAGCGCACTGCAAATGGAACGGTTCGCTCGGTCCTTGTCGTTTTGTAACACACGTCTGTGAGGTGACTGCCTTGCTTTGCAGTTGAGGTCCGTTCCGGGAGCAACACGCTCAAGACTGATGTTGAAGTGGAAATCCCATCGCAGTTTGGAAGCTCCTGCTTGCATCCAGGAATTCCGTCTTGACCTGCCGGTGGACCCAGCAAGTACAAGCTTACGCTGAAGGCAATCGTGCGTCACGTCGGCCCATCGCCCAGGCGCATTTTGCTCTGATACTTTCTCTCACCGTTCCGGCAAGACGCTCGGCCTGGGGCCTGGTCGGAGCCTCGAGTGCCCATGTAAATGGTCAGTGGCGCTCTGGGCAGTTTTGGGTGTTTAGGGGTTAATGTAGGGTTTAAGGCTTTCCGGGCATATACGGTTTAGGGCTTTCCGGGCTTTTAGGGTTTAGGTTTAGGGCTTTAGGGTTTTAGGGTGATAGAGGCTTGGGGTTCTAGGGTTTATAGCTTATAGGATTTAGGGCTCAGATATCGGGTGCAGCTTTTTTTCAGGTTTTTAACGTGAGTGGCGACATGAGGGCTGTATCGTTTCTGTAGTAGAACAGGCCCCACTGACTTTAAGTACTTTCGGCAACATGGTTTTTTTGAGGGGCGGTGCTAAGCATTTGGGGGGATAGTGTTTCGGGTTGCGGGTTCGGGCTTCAAAATGAGAGTTTCCGCAAGGAATCGCGCAGACATAGGAAATGAGGTGTCCGAAAGGATCCAAGAAGAGATCTTGAATAGGATGTCCGTTTACTGCCAGACAGGGCCTCAAGGTTTAGGATTTCAGGGCTTGGGGTGATTCGGGGGCTTGAGGCTTGCCGTAGAACCTTGCCATGTCCCTTTAAGGGTTCCTTTTCGGGCTCCTTCAGGGGCAAAAGCCCTTCAGGTTCAGTGCTTTGGCTTCGGGCTTGGAAGCTTTTAGGTTTGGGGTTTCGAGTTCTAGGTTTAGAGTTTTAAGGCTTTTGGGGTTTAAGGTGTCAGGGTTTGGGGTCTGAGGTCATAGGCTTGAGGATTAGGTGTTAAGGGTTGCTGTTGCTTCGGGGGGCTAGGGCCAAGAGCTTAAGCACCTCCGGGTTTATTTTTGGCTTGGTGTTTTGGGGTTTCTGGATTTAGATTTTGCGTCAGCATGGTTTCAGGTATGAAGTAACATGGAGGCCGCAATGATAAGTTACCAATCCGGTTTTGGGGGCTCAATATCATCATGATAGCAATCTGTAGCCCAATACCCTATGTATTATAATTAGTAAGGCCTTCTATATTACTTTTCATCATCAATACATGGCCCTGTTGGGTTCTTGCTTCAGGATTTTGCGGCATCCGGAGACTTCAGGCATGAAGGCATCGTCGGAACCACTACTGAGATTTGACTAATGTAGGAACCTGACTAAGAAACCCTGGCCGTATAATCCCCAAATGGTGAAGGTTTCTATATTTAAATCGGTTCCGACATTAGCCCACGCACAGATGTTGTTGCGGACCAACATATGACCCGGCCAGCTGCTTAGGGGCAACCTGCTAATCACAAAAAGTACAGTTTGGGCATGTGCCTGGATTTGTCAAAATGTCACAATTCTGTTCGCATTGCCGGCAAACCCCCACCGGATAAATTCCGTTTCCCCGTGCCAAGGCAACTGGCACAGGCCACCAGTCGGAGTAGAACTTCCGGCTGAGGCCAAGGTCGAACTATGCAAAGGCTGGCGTGCCTCATCCTTGTGCCGCAACGGCCTGGGCCAGGTGGGCCGGTGCTCGTTGAGACGAGCACCGTGTGTCGACGACCGGCCGACAGAGCCTTGAGTAGCAACCCTAAGTCACGAAGTAGTCCACCTGCGCTGAACCACGAAGCCCTGAAACCCAATCGCCCTGAAATCAACACGAGCTTTCAATAGTTGGTAATTATATCCCTCCATGGACCCCACACTGTCATTCTGTGATGTGCACCAAACACTTATGCGTTATGCCAAGCCCCTAGAATTACAAAGCCTGCTGATGAAGGCGCTTGGACTCGCAACACCTTGTTCTACATACTATGTCCCCAACTCACGACACTCTTCTTTTATGTGTTAAGCCTCGTGAACTCAAAAAGGTTTACGACTCTAAGACTTTAAGTTCTCGTTTCATTACGGCACCTGGGCTGGACCCCTGCAGCCTGAACCCCGGAAGCTCGCAGATTCGGCTTCAGGCCGTGGAGATCTTGTCTGAGACGATTGCCTCATCGAAATGGCGAGGCAAATGCACGGTTTTGCGTTTAGGGTTTCGGGGATATGGTTGGGTTCCAAAAGGCTTGTCGAGTCTTGGGCTCTTCAGAGGTTTCGTAGAGTCGAGTCTTGAATAGCTAGAACAGGGTTTCTGATTGCAGATGGTGCATAATCACTGACTTACATTGAACACCCTTGGTTTTGTTTAGTTGTGTTCGGGATTTAGGGGTTCAGGGCGTGGTTCTGGGCTTATTATCGTTTCACAGGCTAGGCGGTTGAGCAGAGCTTCAGGGTAGTTTGGGCTTACTTGAAGGATGATGGGACTTAAATATACGTCAGGTATATGTATTCTCCTTCTGCTGCTGCTGATGCTGCTGAAGCTTGAAACCTCTAAGTAATACAGGAGCCTTAATAGTTAGAACAAGCCTTTCGGGATCCTTCGGATCAGTCTTGCTTTACTCAAAGCCAAGCGTGAGATCCTGACCTTCGGGTTTAGGGCGTAGGGCCTAAACCCCCGAAGCCCGAAACCCTTAAATCCTAAGCACCCAAAACCCTAAACCCCTAAACCCTAACACCCTAAACCCCAAAATCCTAGAAGCCCCAAAGTCCCGGATGCAAGATCTCAGAAGCTTAACTAATTGCACATGTAATTTCTTAGGGTTTCTTATTGTGATTATGCTACAAAGGAGCCCAAAACCCTGTTCGAGTTATTAATGCCCCTTTACTAAACCCCCATAATACCCTTATAGCAATCCTTATAGACCCCCTTTAAAAGGAACACCTTTAAAAGGAACCCTTCAAAAGGAACCCTATTACTCTAAAAGGAACCCTTGAAAAGGAACCCTACTATTCTAAAAGGAACCCTTTAAAAGGAACCCTATTACTCTAAAAGGAACCCTTGAAGAGGAACCCTACTATTCTAAAAGGAACACTTTAAAAGGAACCTTATTATTCTAAAAGGAACACTTTAAAAGGAACCTTATTATTCTAAAAGGAACACTTTAAAAGGAACCTTATTATTCTAAAAGGAACACTTTAAAAGGAACCTTATTATTCTAAAAGGAACAAAAGGAACATTATTCTTTAAAAGGAACCTTATTATTCTAAAAGGAACACTTTAAAAGGAACCTTATTATTCTAAAAGGAACACTTTAAAAGGAACCTTATTATTCTAAATGGAACACTTTAGAAGGAACCTTATTATTCTAAAAGGAACACTTTAAAAGGAACCTTATGATTCTAAAAGGAACACTTTAAAAGGAACCTTATTATTCTAAAAGGAACACTTTAAAAGGAACCTTATTATTCTAAAAGGAACACTTTAAAAGGAACCTTATTATTCTAGAAGGAGCACTTTAAAAGGAACCTTATTATTCTAAAAGGAACACTTTAAAAGGAACCTTATTATTCTAAAAGGAACACTTTAAAAGGAACCTTATTATTCTGATTATTAGGTCCTAGTGCCAGGCTCTTCAGTCCTCGGACCTGTCCTGGAGGAGAGCCTCGGCCCGCGAGGCTGGGGACTGCTTTCAGGGACTGAAGGGTGCCAAACTTAGGGACCCAAAACCTTAGGTTAGGGTTTAAGGATTAGGGTTTACGGTTTAGGGTTTAAGGGTGGGACCCAAAACCTTAGGTTAGGGTTTAGGGTTTAGGGGTTTAGGGTTTAGGGAAACTTAGGGCCCAAAACCTTAGGTTAGGGTGTAGGGCTGAAGGGTGCCAAACGCAGGGGCCCAAAACCTTAGGTCAGGGTTTAGGGTGTGGGGTTTAGGTTTTTGGGCTTAGGGTTTTGGGGTGTGGGGTGTGGGGTTTAGGGTTTAGGGGTCTACTCGGAGGGTCGGGGGACTTAGTAAGGCTCCTGAACGGAATCCTCAGGGCTCCTGACAGGCATCTGTACAGGGAATATAGGGGGATCTGCGAGGGAGGTATGGGACTTGGTACGTAGGTAGCAATTAGAGCTAGAAGTACCCTAAAGGGGATCCTAAGTGGGGTTATAGAAATGAAATCGCTACAAAGGAACGACTAAGAAGGTCGACTCTCCAAGCAAGGGAGCCAAACACGACACCTACGCCGAAACCCGAAGCAGGGGCCGAGCTACGCCTGACTACGACATAGAGCCCTGATTCATGAACCCCTCCTCTTTGAGGGCCGCATTAGGATCCTTCGTTCTACCTGACGCCCCAATCCTAAATCCCAAAACTTAAATCCTAATCCTCAGTCTTGTAATTGCCACAAGCTAAAGGCTGCCAGCCCTAGGCAGCTATCCTAAACTCTGCATCGAAACCAAAGTTCATAGACCCCCAGGCCCCAGACACAGCAATCCTCACACCCTAGATCTAAGAGACCTAAGTAAAGAACACAATAGCCTACTTGATGAGGTGGCAGTATCTTGAAAACGTAACATATCATAATATAATATGCGGTTGTATAGTGAGGTATAGCACAACATCATACAACATGAGAAATTATAGTCCTAAACCCTGAACAGGGCTTCGAGCATTGGACCGCCGCAACGACAAAGTTGCGATGCGGCGGCTCTTACGAAGCGTGGCTTCGAACCTTTGCTTCCCGGCGCATGTCGGATGTTTCGACTCCGAAGTGTGTCCAAGCACCTAAATATTTAAATCGACAAATGTGATAATAATGATGATTAACAATAAGAAGAATAGTAGCAATAACGGGAATAATAAGTCGTCGTTACAAACATATTTTTTTTTGGTTGAGGGTTTCTGAATTACTAGGACCCAGAGTAGGCCCTTATTCCCTTTTTAAGGGATCAGGTTCCCTTATAAGCCCCTTTAAACCAAAAAGGGCACCCTTTTTATTCCTAGGTTACTCTTGGGCCTAGATTATAGTAGAGTTCTGTGTCGAAGGCATAAGGTTGTGGGTTGGAAACTTAGGGCTGAAGGCTTAGGACTTGAAATGCCGGCCTGAAGAGTTCTGCGTGGGTTCCGGAAGGGCTTTAAGCGCTTTTATTTTTATTTTTACCGGGTTCTAATTTTTTGCGGGTCTGAAAGACATAGCACATGACTAGTTAGTTTGGTTTGGGATAGTGGTTTTGTAGGTTTAGGGTGTTTGGTTTTGGCCGCACAGTTGCGGGCTTGGGGGTTGGAAGGGGTTGACTAGATTAGGGTCCTAGCAGGAAGATTCGACAGTAAGCCGCATATCAGATCGAGTTGGAACCTCCTCTGCTACAAATGCTGAGGAGCTTTCCACAGAGTATGCAGGGGCTTTCAACCTCTGGCATAGCATCAGAACATAAAAATATTTGGCTTTGGGATTCAGGGTTGGGTTCAGGGCCTAGGGTGAAGCTAGCTATTGCAATCGCGGAGTCGTTGTTTGGACAGATCTGCTCTACTAGTTAATGCCCTGCAATGCCTACACATCTAACGGCTCATCTGGCACCATCCGTAAAGAAAGAGTAGTGGCCAATTTGCTCAGCATGTTTTCACCAAGTGCTTCATATATCCAGTGACACGGCTGACTTTCATCTTGAGGGCGTTTGGGATCTGGTTTTAGCACTTACTTGCTCAGGACTTAAAGCTAGGATTTACAGGTTCGCCCGAAGGGTCTAGATGCCACAAATTTCACCAACAATGTTCAGCGCATGGTACTTGGGACCTAACCTGTTGTACTTAGGTATTTGGACCTTCGCAAAACATTCTTATAGTTATACGCATAGAATCGCAAAGAACTCTTGATAAGAGACCCTAGAACACCTGTTAGATTCTTTAACCTTATCAAAGCCTCGCGCCAAAATCTGCTTGAGCCTAGGTATGCGTGGTCAAGATCTGCAGCGTGGCTACAATGAGAGGGTCCTCAGTACCTATATTTGTGTACTTACTCTAACCGTGGGATGCTTAATACAGTAGGAAGTCTACTTTCGCTATGTAGGTACTCAGGACCCCTTGGGACAATCTATACCGTCCCACGAGGTATGTGGGCGAGCTGGTAAAGCGAGTTGGCGCTGCGTAGCACGCTTCAAAGCGGTAGCACTTCGCAAAAGCAGGGATTTCGACAAAGTCTGTACAACATACATGCATACGTACACACATGCAAACACCCAGTGCACGTGATTGAACTTTATGTCATACCACATACCACAATCGGCGCCATACCACAAAAAGAATGAAACACCGGCTATATGATGTGAAGCACCGATTGGCAGGAAAAATCTTTTAGGGAGCCATGAGCAGCGTTCATGGATTCATGGTTGTTCGTGTGTAGTACCGGTGTAGATGTTGAATACATGTTGCGGGCTCAGGCTCAGGATGAACAGTTTCAACCGCAGGAGACGCATGAACATTAGGACCTACGAAATGCTACAAGCAGGAATGTCTGTTGGATTAGCTTCCGAACAATGGCCACAGATTCGGTGGTGTTGCCGGAGTCAGAAGACGACTACATGTGTAACAGCCCTGTACCCTGTGTGCTCGCATGTGAAAAAGTACGTGGCGGATCGTCCTACATGGGTTCGAAATACGCGACATTTGCACCAGCATGAAAGCACATGACGGTTTGCGAAAAGGAACCCCTTGGCAAATCAGTAGGTGCGCCGGGTGAGGCACACGTATGTCATATGCAATGGAACACTCGTGACATAGCAACCAGTCGTGTAGAGCAGTGTCTTCACGAGGTGGGCTGTAATACGACATCGCAAAACGCAACGCACATGTCAGACAACCGGACAGATCTGGCACTTTACGAGGCGCAATCGTGCAACGCATTGTGGAGCCTCGAGTGACTGGAATGTTGAGAAAGCAGAGAGTTGTGCGGTGTCTTCGCGAGGCGGGTTTGAGAGGCGAGTTTGAACACCCAACAAAAAATCCACACCCACCTAAGCGAGGCGAATTTCAAAACCAAACAAAAAAATCCACACCCCCACCTAAGCGAGGCGAATCTAAACACCCACTTGAAGAAAGAAAATCCACGCCCACCTAAGCGAGGCGAATGACCGCACCCACCAAAACAAGAATCGAATTTCAAAACCAACAAAAAAGAATTTCCGCACCCACCCAAAAATTAATAATTTCCGAACCCACCTAAGCGAGGCGGATTTCCACACCCACCAACAAAAAGAATTTCCACACCCACCTAAGCGACATCCTTACTTCAATCTCTTCAATCCAATCCGTTTCATTCAATCAGTTCAAGCTGCAAGAGATCCCTTGGGGCACGACGAAGTTCCAGTCACACGATTGCAGATTCATGTTGACGCTTGACACACGTAACAACTGGATATCTGGAAATATCGAGTATTCGGAGGAACTGGGGGTGGCTGAACTGGTGGTCGAACCGGCGGGTGGTCGAACTTTTATCGGTGGTCGAACTGTTTTTGGTGGTCGAAGGGTGGTCGAACTCGTTCCTCAGGCACAGATCTTGGTTCGACCACCGTTCGACCACCAGAAGTTCGACCACAGTTCGACCACCGGTTTGACCACCCGCCGGTTCGACCACCGGTTCGACCACCCGCATGCCTGTGGTCACAGCAAACAAAATGCAGAAATTTACATCTAGAGTGACACCCACGCACCGCGCAAGACAGACCTCCCCAACCCTCGTGAGTCCGTGAATACCCACCCTGTTGCAAGTGTTTTGTTGTGCGCAGCGGGCCGCGAATATGCAGGTTTGAAAGCTTTCCCGGAAACGGGCAGGCTGGGGAGGCTTGAAAACCCGCCCCGTGGAGGGCAGTGGAGGGTTGGAGGATTTCCCGGTTTGGGCCGCTCCAAACCAGGATTTTCAGGTTCCAGCCAAGTTCCAGCTTAGGGCACTCTAGGTATCCGGCCAATATAGAGATGTGTTCGAGTTCTTGTGTGCGCGGTGCGCCAGGCGACTCAGCTTTTAGCATTAGTGCAGCAGACCAGACCCGTCGTGCGACGACGATTGGAGGTGACTCACCGTCCTGACGGGCAAAACGAAGCGCCCGGGCGGTCCCAGCTTCCGGGGTCATTGCTTCAGGGTGGGGTGATGATGATGATGGCGCGTCAGTGCTACAGGGTGGGATGACGATGAGTGCTCGGCTGTTGTAATGCTTTATGTTGGTGATGGTGGTGGCGGTGGTGTGGTGTGGGGGTGATTGGTGATGGCGGCGATGCTACATATGCAATGGTGCCCCGATGACGGCCAGATCGGGCGTTCATTTGGATCGGAATGTGGCAGCAGCTTGAATGCAATGGCTGCTGCAAAAGAACGAAAACCTCCCGGTGTGGCCCACGCGAAACCGGGAATTAGTTCCCCCCTGACCGCGCCCATATTCCCAGGCCTCAAAACCGGCTGATGCTCATGAAGCTGTGCGTGCGGGCCCAAGGTCCACCTGATGCTCATGATGCGCGCGCGCGTGCGGCCGGCAGGACCGGGCTGATGCTCCTGATTGCTCGCTTTGATTTCGCCCCAGACCGAGGCCTAAAACCCAAAAGCCGTCGTAGAAACCTTGATCAACGAATCGAGCCTTCACAACCGAAGAACCTAAAAAGCCTGCACCAACCCTAACCCCTAGACTACGGCTCAAACCCGCAAGCTGGCTCAAAGGCACAGCAAAGAAACGAACTTGCAAGCTACGCCTCAAACGGCTCAAGCTCTGACCCGAAAGCCGTTAAATCAGATTGGCATGGGAAGCCTTCTGCGCTAAGTCCTGAAGTTCACCCTGGCGGAGGGAGGGTGGTCAGAATATCGCCGTTTCAGAAAAATAGGCACATCAGCTCTGGTTTTTCCCCGTACAGTCTGTTTAGACTCGCCCTGTTCCGCTCTAGTTGCTGCCCACATGCCTCGTGGGACAGTATAGGACAATCTAGACCTAGGCAGTTAGTTATATCCACTCTACCTCCAAGATATTCTGCAGCCAGGGTGATTGGAAGCTTTGTGACCCCTACGAGTCCCAACCTCGACACTTTACGAACCCTATGCGCCCCAACCTCGTCAAAAGTGCCGGAGCGAAACAGAATAGAACTGACCACCACATTGTTGCTGGTAAGTACATGCCTTTTAAGACTGTAAATTATTTGCCCATTGCTCTAGTTGTTCTTAGAGCCTTCAGTATCAGATTCAAGGAGCAATTTGTTAGGTGCTGACTTGCAAAAGGTGGCATACACAAGTACCACTACGCACCCCTCCCCTAAACCCCGATCCTTCAAACAAAAATACCTGGAACACTAGGACAGTGAGCCGAAACTTCAAAAACTTCGTGTCAACCCCCCTGCGCCCGAAACCCGATGTCTGCTCCAACATAAACGGGTAGTTGTCAAAATTGGGGTCCCTTGTTGGGTACCTTAAATATTAGGTGCCGTATTATAACAGGGACCCAAAAAGGGACCCGATTTTGACAACCACCCAAACCGCAACAACTTAACCCAAGGTCCGCTCTCCCAAAGCTTCAAACGGCATATCCTAGTCAGAACCCCGGCGAAGCACGAACCCCCAGTCACAAAGTGCGCAGTCCTGCAGCTCAAACAAAAAGGCCCTTCCGAAGTTCAGGCAGTAGATGGTAGCTTTCCTTGGCTACGGAACTCGAGAGTGACCATGGTTTAGAGCCATTCTCGGGGCTAGAAGGCTGTAACGGTTTTGGGTTCTGGGTTTCGAGGCTTTAAGGGCTTAAAGTAAAAGCCAGAAAGTTGGAATATGATTATCCTATACCCTTTATGGTAAATTATAGGGTATCCTACCCTGAAACCATATTCTAACTTTCTGGAGTTCCCTTTAGGGGAAAGGGTCTAGGTGACTTGGATACGCAAAGTGTCGAGCCTGGCTAGATGCCCTTTGCGAGTTTAGAGACCTCATGGGGACCCTGGAGCTAAGCCCAGGACCACGCCATGTGATGCACTGCTCGGCCGGGAAGTGATGGCCTTCCTGTGCCCCACTGCACAGCAGAGCTGCTGGCAGGCTTGGGGCAACCCTGTTTTTCAGGTTGAGGGTATATTTAGGAACCGGTGAAAGGAGCCGTGCCAATCCCTAGAAATCCCTAAGAATATGTGTGGGGTCGCCGGGGGTGTGTGTGTGAAATCAGATGTTCAGTGTACTTGTAGGGGCATCGCATCGGACGTTCATGGGGGCCTAAGGGCAAGCAGCAAAGTCGATAATTGAACATGCAGCAATCCTAGACCCCCCCAACTACCCTTTAATACACCACTATTAACGACCGCAGCCTTTCATCATCATTCTCCGTGGCTGCTTGGCGATTATGAGTTTTTCACCTATAGCCGCAACCGTATATAGTTATTAATATCTATATTTCCTTTCACTGATGTACTTAAAGGATCTTGGGGACTTAGCAACTAGGGTTGCAAATAAGGTAGCTATAATTGTTGCCACCAACAGCCGCAATTAAGGCAAACCCCAAGAATCCCTAAACCCTAAACCCCAACCACTAAACCCTGAACCCGAATCCCTAAACCTTAGAAATCCTATAAACCCTAAACCCCAAACTCTAATCCTAAAACCCCAAAATACACCCTAAACACAAAAAGCACCCAAGAATCCCTAAACCCTAAACCTGAACCCCAAACCCTAAACCCTCGCAGGTGCAAGTGAAGGCTGCCGAGTTTGGCGAAGATCTGCCGGAGCGGCTGGCAGATCCAGGACCCGGAAACTGAGTGAAGGATGGCGCAGTATGGCCGTATAGTATGTTAGAGTACCGTATCATGGTAAAATATACGGTATCGTCTGTTCTTAGTATTGTATTGTATACCAAAGGATGGTATAGTATGTTACAGTACCGTATTATAGTAAAATGCGGTATAGTATAGTCTTAGTATTGTATATTGTATATCAAAGGATAGTACAGTATAATTAGTATAGGACCCAGAAGCTCTTCAGAAGGATCGGTTTAGGGCTTTAGGGTTTCAGGGTCGATTTAGGGTTTGGGGGTTTAGTTTGTTTTTGACCTGAGGCTTGAGGTGCGTAGGGCTTTGTTTGGAGAAAAGCCTTGTGCGGGTTTCGGGTTTAGGATATTCTTGTACGAAAGACTTTTAGGTTTTAAGCCCTTTGAGTGCTCAGCAGAACAATTTGTCGCTGGCGGTTTTGCTCAAGCCTCTCTCTCCGTGTTTTAGTTCGACGGTTTGCTGAACCCTAAATAGCCTAAACCCTAAACCCAAGACCCGAGCCCAAAACCTCTCGTAGAAAATCTGGCTAGGCCCCATGGTAGCCCAGCTTGTAGAACTATATGGAAGGATCAACTCAAAGCCCAGCTAGGTAGCGATAACATGCATGATTCAGCTATCTATAACTTTACAATGATACACACCCAACACCGCCCAACACACTTTTCTATTTCTTGAGGCCAGTGTTAATTCGGGATTTGTTAGAACCCTACCCTGTTTTTTGGCTTCGGCCGATCCTGCATTTGGTTTCTTAGTTTTTGGCCCTAGCCGTAGGTTCTCGTTTTCAAGGGTTTGAGGTTTAAGACCTCGCATTCTGTAAGTCGGTCACCAAATCTTATGTACTCCGGCTAACCCATAGCTTCATCCCCCGCTCTTTGTCGTTGTCGCGAGGATATTTCAGATTTCGCAGACAGGCACCTCGAAGCAAGTTTGTTTCTGATGTTCCTTCTAGCCTGAAGTCTTAAACCGTGCCTTTTGGCCTTGTCAGGGTTTAGGGTTTAGGGGTTTAGGGTTTAGGGACTTGTCTGTGGCTGGGGGTGTACGCGAAGCTGGCTCTTCGACGGTTTAGGATTTCGTTTTGGGGTCGAGAGATTGACGGCTAGTTACGTCGAAGCAAGTGTGGAGCTAACTATATACATATATATATATATATATACATTCTGTTGCACTATATCACGGTCTTTTGGTACTATGTTCCACATGGCATATAATTTGTATTATTAGGGTCATTGTCGAATTTGTGATTGTTGTGAATGATATTATTGTTGTCGTAGTCCTTAACAATATTCCCTAAACCCTAAACCCAGAGCTCACTTGGGGGGGTTTGAATCATTGCTCAGAGCACGCCTCGCCTCGCTCCTGTCGAAGCCGATCCCCGAGCACCCGAAGCCGCAAGTCCTAAAACGTACGCCCGAAAACTTAAAAGGGTTCAGGGGCCTGGGGTTCAGGGATGTTAAGGTCTAAGGTTTTAGGGTTTCAGGTTTTAGGGTTTAAGTTTTCAGGTTTAGGGTTTTATCGGGATTAGGGTTTTAAGGTTTTAAGGTTACTGCATTACGCTATTCCCGAACTCTGGAACACCCAAACCAACCATACATCCGACTGACCCGTAGGTCACGCCAGCAGTCATGTCATGTGACAGCCCATGATACGCTGTGATACAGCAAGGTTCATCTCGCAGACAGACTCTTCGGGAGCTGCGCAGACGAAGCTGGGCTGAAAACCCGAAACCCCCGAACCCCTAAACTAAACCTCTAAACCCCTGAACCCCTGAACCCATAAACCCCTAAACCCTAAACCCTCAAACCCTGAACCCCCAAACCCCTAAACCCTCAACCCGAAGTAAATAAGCAGGTATCCCTGCGGCTAACTGACAACATCCGGAGTTTCGCCTAAGGGTTTAGGGTTTAGGGGCTGAGATCCGAAAGGTCCAAAGTACCTACAAAAGTAGCTTGGAACGTTTGCAGTAGAATGTAGGGTTTCTATACTAGGAGTTACTATTCTCATTTGGAGAAGTATTCCCATAACAGTACCTAGGACCCTTTGGGTTAGTCGCCTAAAATGTTCAACTGTTGCTCGTGCACGGTTTACTAGCCGTCCAGGGCTGACGCGAAGGAACCCAGAACCATAAGCCCCAAAACTCCGCTTCAGAGCCTTATGGAAAACTTGAGATGCCTTACAATACCCTATCAACAAAAAGCAGTCCTCTAAGAGTACAAGAGGATGGATGCAGCATCCGATCCTAAACCTGCTTGGGTTTCAGGTCTTTGAGGGTGACGTTCGATTTAATGTTGCGAGGTTTGAGTCACTAGAAGGAGGCGACAGGAGTTTGAAGGGGGGAAGAAGCATCCACGAACAAAAACCTTCCTGAACCCAAAACCTGAAATCTACACCCCATGGCTTTGACACGGACTCCTATACGTAAGCCTCTCTAGAATTTGCACAGAGAGAACTCAGGGGACCCTGACACTCTGTAGAAGCCTGAGTGATTGCCAACATTATACCTTAGGGTTCCGTCGTAGCAGTATAGTATAACAGACCCCGAAACCCGGTTCGAAGTGTTAATTAGGCCTCTATATCATATTATAGTACCCTTATAGATCCCTTATAGTAGCCCCTGTAGACCCCTTTAAGCAGGAACCCTATTCAAGCTGTTGAGGCCTCTGTATTACAAGCACCCAAAGCCTGAACCCCTTTTCTGCTCCCTTCTTGGGGGTAAAGGGACCTTGCTAAGTACAGCGACAAGTACCTTGCTTGGGCTTAGGGTTTTAGAGTTCAGATTTCCGGGTTATAAGCAGATAGAAGTACATTTTTGATTGGGGCCTTAGGGTTTAGAGCTCAGGTTGATAAGTTATGCGCAGGTAGAAGTATATTTAACCTAGCATTGGAGCTATAGCCTGTTTAAACTTTGTTTTAATATAGTTTCTTATGAGCCTAGAGGTTTGAGGTCTCCGATTCTCTGTAAGTAGTCCACCTGAATGCAGTTCCACGAATCACACAATGCTGCTTCCCCCAAATCAAACCGAGCCAAATCTCAGGAAGACCTTGAAATCGAGACTTGAAGCCTCAACCCTCAAACCCTGGACCCTTAAACCCTAAACCCTCAACCCTTTTTTAACAAGACTAAACAGCGAATGCTTGAGGAGGCGATCCTCGAGCTGGTAGACAGCCAGATGTTGCGAGATGGAAGCGCCTCGCCTCAAGAGCTGGGCCTCGCGAGATATGAGGGGTACCTTTAGGGGGCCTAGGGTTCCTTAAAGGGATCCTTTAAGGGGGATCTATAGGGTTTAGGGGATTCTAATACCCCTTAAATAAGGTAATATGAGGGGTACCTTTAAAGGGTTCCTTAAAGGGATCTATAAGGGTTTTATTTCGGGTTTTAGGGTTTAGAGTTTCCGAAAATTCGGGATGCCTACCCTTTTAGGGGGTCCTTACAATAAGGGTCCTACTATTTACGGTGCTATATCAGGGTCCCCTATTTTCGGAAACTCCCATATCAGATGTGTCATGGAGTTTACATTTAGCAACGACGAAGGTTTTGGGGATGTATGACGTCGATAGAGTTTGGGATTTAGGTTTGAGGGCTGAGCGTTCTCTAAACCTTACACCCGAAACCCTAAATAGCCCGTGAAGTTCTCTGAATACGGAGGCTTTGGATCGCGAGCCTTAGGGTTTCTCCAATGCCCAATGCCCTAATGATCTCTGCTAAACGCCTACACCCAAACTGGTTCAGAGCCCTTACTTTAGGGTTTTGTGGCTTTGGGTTTATGGGTTTAGGGTTTACACATATGCTGCAAATGCTAGCATTCTGAAGATTTGAATTTCGCGACGTCCGAACTCCAACGGAACAGTGTAAAGTCTGGGGTTGCGGACGGAAGCTGAAGCTGAGGTGAAGGAAGCCATGATGAGTGCCTCGACGCATTGAAGCTACTAGCGACCTGTGCCCCGAAACCAAAGCTTGCACCCTAATCTTGGTTAATTATACGATACCCCAAGGGTCCAAAGGACCCAACAATTAGGTACTCGGTGTTAGGATAGTAGCTATATAGGTTACCATTTTGGAGAGTTTATGATAATTAGGTCCTAGTTAGGTGCTTGGACCCTTAGGGATAGGGGGTCGGACTAACTAGTAGTGTCCTGTAGGGCTTCAGGTTAAGAGGTCCTTGGTTCAGGGTGGGAGGTGGAACACGCGCATATCAGCTACAGTTGAAGCATGTGTTTATGTGTGTATATATATATATGTGTATGTGTATATATATATATATATATATATACACCTATCTACACATATAACTATATAGTAATATGTGTACAAGCAAAGAAACAAGCAAACCAACAAACATGTATGTATGCATGCATATATACATACACATGTAGCATATAATATGTGTAATTATGTGTGTGTGTGTGTTCATTTTTAAATTCTTATGCATATATATATACACACACGTAGAAGGTGTATCATAGGTTTAAACACCTCGTGGAGAATCAAGCCCGAGAGTGCCGTTCTCTAAGTGACCGGAGGATATTTCGAATGAGCCACAGAAAAAGCAGAGATTGTAGAATAACCCATAACTTAGCGTCTGGTTTAGGGTATAAGGTACTGAAACCTACAATCTTCTACTCCAAAGCCCTACAACGTATTGGGTCTAATTGGGGTTAGGTCTGAGGGCTGCGGGGGCTGCATCCCACTGATTTTGGAAGTCTAACACCTAAACCTAAAATCCCAAACACTAGGCCGTAGGTTAGCCTTCAGGTTGTAGGCACACATGGGCATCCAGTGAGCATTCTGGCTGGGTTGGAGCAAATCTTGTCGTGAACAAGCCGAATTGAACCAATCATGCTGCTACTCCCGATGATCGCCAATATCGTGATTCCGACGAGCTCAATGTGTTATTTGAGAACCCGTTTAAAATTTTCTTGAGTGCCAAGTTCACAAGGTCGTCGGCCATGGCGCAACAAGACAGCTGCGCAGAGAATGATGCGATTATATCCGCGTTTGATTGAGTTGCTATACCAATGGGTGGGTGTGTATCTAGCTGCTTGAATAGTGATTGTTTAGCCTCTTAGCCGGGCTATCTGTGTTCCCAATTCCCTAGCCTCAGATCCTAAACCTAAACACCCCAAATCCGCGAGTGAGCTCAAACCAAAGCAGCCAATAATCCCTACCCAAATCCCCAGCCTTTTTCACTCAGCCCTTAGCCAGCCCAAACCCTCAATGCTACACCCTTAGCCCGATCCCGCTCGTCTTGGAGGTGTTGGACAAAGATGCCACGAATCAGTCTGTGGCCCTCACTTCCTGTCGCGTGCTCTGGCAAATTTAACTGTGCTGTTGTTCGCTTGTGAAATTTTCGGTGGGGATTAGCAGTAGTCGTCGTCGCTGGTGGTGGTGACTGTCGCCGAAGTAGTAGTACTAGTAGTAGTAGTAGTAGTAGTAGTAGTAGTAGTAGTAGTAGTAGTAGTAGTAGTAGTAGTAGTAGTAGTAGTAGTAGTAGTAGGAGGCTATACCCTACATGAGTATATGAAATCATTGGAAAAGGTGACATCCCCAAGACCTGAAGCTTAAAACTCCAAGCCTCAAAGCCAAAACCAATCAACTCAAGACTATGCAAGAAAGAAGGCAATCCGCTTATAGCCCCAACCCCACCAATGCTGGACCAAGCAGCCAGACGATTTATATCCCAACACACATGCAGAAGACTACGCAAGAGCACCAAGCAACAAAGACACACAAACCAAAATCAAAGCAAAACATCCAATCAACGAGAGACCAGGCGTGCCGCGGAGCCGATCAGAGCTCTCATCGGGGAGCTCAGTCTCTTTGCTTGGATAGCTTTGGGATGTTCAAAGGTGCTGTGTTACTCTAATAGAGAAGCAAATCATTACATATATTATTCCTTAGGGCTCCTTGTGATAACCATATTCTGAAGGAGCCTTAAACCCTATTCTAATTATTAAGGCCCCTGCATTAAGTGTGCATGTCATGGACCTTTTAGTGCATACTTTGGGCCTAAAGTACCTATATGTCTAAGAGTATACTAGGCTGCACCAATAGATAATAGAGCCCTGGCGGTCTGGAAGGGTTGCCTGAGTGTGGGTCTGGCACTGAAGCCTAATATGGTTGGTGATATATATATATATATATATATATATGAGTATAGAGGCCTCAATAATGCACTGTAACACTACACTCCCAAACCCGATTCAGAGCCGATATTCGGATTTCAGGGTGCAGGGGTAGAGTTCAAGCCATACATAGACTAGGTCCCTGAGTAGTACCTTTTTGCCCTTTTTGTTTTAGGTTTTCTGTTAAAACAGAATAGTAGGAAAACGGGTGGCCTTATTATTAAGGGAGTACTCAGGAACCTAGTAGAGGGCCAGTGCGACACCAGCCCATGGATGTTGGGTATCGGACAAAACGGCTTCAGTTTTAGATTTAAGGTAAAAGCCAGAAGTTGGAATATGATTATCCTAACCCTTCTATGGTAAATTATAGGGTATCCTACCATGAAACCATATTCCAACTTTCTGGAGTTCCCAAAACGGGCTTCAAGTTGCTAGGCTCTGCTTGAGCCGGGTCGCTTTAATACTGTTAAACACCCCGTGAACTGTCCCGTCATGGAGAGGGAGGCCTAAAGCCTGCCTAAGCCCGTTTGCGGCTAAGGGGTTTAGGGTCCAACTGTAGCAGATAGGCGGTTTGGGGCGAGGTCTAGGATCCTAAACCCTATAAACCCGTATTTAGTTACATCATCCCATCCCCGCGCAGCGAAGCCTTCATCGACCCCTTAAAGCCTTAATCCTCTGCGCTACATCCTACACGCTTCATTCTATCCGGTTAACCCTGGTCATAAGTCCGAATCTGTATATCCAGAGTATGTGTGTATATATTATATATATATATATACACACACACAGTGCATACACAATCGTAGGGAAACAATGCATGCATGCATGCATGCATGCATGTATATGTGTATGTACATATGACATGTATGTATGTATGTATGTATGTGTGTATGTATTTATGTCACTGGACATTAAAAGTGTGCGTGCGTGACATGTATATGTCGTAGTTTCATCTATATACACATAAACGTAGGTATACACGTGTCTCTCTCTCTCTCTCACATATGGGTGGTTGTCAAAATTATGGTCCCTTTTTGGGTACCCTAAATATGAGGTGCCGTACTATATTTGGGAGTCCAAAAGGAACCCTAATTTTGACAACTACCCCTATGTGCTTGGTAAGGCTTGAATCAGAAGCTGGCTTACATCCTTGGCCGCTCTCTGGCGCAAGAAGTGCCTTGGGCCCCTTGGCATCTGAGGTCGCAGTCGGGGTTTTTTAGGGGTTTAGGTTAGGGTTCAGGGTTTTAGGGTTTTGGGGTTTAGGGCTTAGGTTTCAGGGCTTGAGGGTGTAGGGGTTCAAACTGCCGCCTGAACCGTAAACCCTCAACCCTCAAACCCCAATGCCAAGAAGGGATCCTTTAAAGGGGGTCTATAAGGCTACTAGACGGGTTCCATAGGGTTCCTTTAAAGGGGGCCTATAGGGGCTGCTATAAGGGTTCCTAGGCTTCCTTTAAAGGGGGCCTATAAGGGCCTATAAGGCTTCTGGGATCCCCTTTACTCCTAGGTTGCTGGGCACTTCTCGAAGCTCAGGGTCTGAGATCCTCGAGCAGATGGTGAAGGAGATAAGCTTGGCTTAGCGTGTGGCATATGTATGTCTGTATATATATATATATATATATATATACATTTATCTTTTTATATACATATATGTATGTATACATGTATAAGTATATGTATGTAGGTATGTAGGTGTATATGTATATACATATATATATATGTATATATTCGGCACTGCAATATGCCCCAAACGAAACGTCTTATTAAGGTGGTTTTGCAGGCTTGCTACACTTTCTACATTTGGAGAAAAAGAAACCACGAAGGACTACAGAAGTCCATTCAACTCTGAATTTACACTAGGATGCCCAGTAGTACCCTTATTCCCTTTTTGTAGTCCTAGGTTCCTTATAAAGTTACCCAATACCAAAAAGAGAGGCCTTTTTGTTCTTAGGTTACTGGGTATCCTAGTACAGCAAACCTTAATTTTGAATTCTAGGATTTAGGGTTTAGGGTTGCCGCGCAGCTAAGCTTGTTACCTAAGCGATCCTGCACATCACCTTCTGCCCTAAACTCTAAACCGACGGCTGATGATATAAATCCTGCATTACCGATAGCAAGGAATTTCCATAAGTCCCCCCTAGTTTAGGGCCATGGAAGTAAGGCAGGATTTCTATCATCAACTGTATTTGTGGGCCCTATTCCCTCCGTGGACCTAGACCCTCCCTGATCCTTAAACCTATAAACCCTGAACCCTGTAGTAAACACCAAAAAGTTGGAAACCGGATTCAGGACAAGTAGTGCTGGGAGTCCTTACACATTAACGGTTTGGGCTTTAGGGTTAACTCTTAACCATTGAGGCTATTGGGTTTCCAACTGTTGGGCTTCTACTATAAGCTGCACGATTTCTGACGTCAGGGTTGTTATTGAGCGCAGAGTGCCGGGTGTAGAACCTTGGGAAGTCGAAGGGACGTTTGAGATCAAGTTGAAGGTTGTTGGATCTGTTACATGTGCTAGTAGTTTCCTAGTAGTTTCTGAACGTATTCAGCATTAGTATCAGAAGTTCGCAAGCAGGACTTCCGAACCGAAATCGGAACCCGAACTAGGCCTCAGGTGCTAATCGCTGCGCTTCTGTCATGCATCCGAGGACGACAGTCTGCCGGATTCCATCCTGGAGATTGGGATTTGAGGGCCTTCTTCGGTTTAATGTAGGAACCTGATTAAGAATTCCTGGGTCATGGTTAGGGTTCCTTTTATATGAATCCTACTATTATATATGGGGTTGTAGGACCAGGGTTTCTTAACCAGTTTCCTACATTAGGGCTTTAGGGTTGAGGGTTCAAGGTTTTGAGCTTTAGGGTCGGGGGTTCAAGGTTTACCAGTGTGCGGTTTCAGGAGTTAGCATTTTTCTGGTCACACTGAGGAGGAGAGGATGGGCCTTCGTTCTCTGTCTATCGTGGAATGCTTGAGGATATCAGGCCGCACCCACCATAGCCGATGTACCCTGTAAGAGGGCGTGAACACCCTAGACACAAAGCCCTGAAGCAACAGAACATGTACAAAGCGATGAATGGTAGGCCCGATACCTGTAAACCATGGGTGATCGACACCAGCAGGCCCTTCACCACAAGTCGCAACAGCTTCCAAAACGTACATACAGGACCCTTGCGCTCAAATCGTAACTCCCTAGAAAAACTACTGCATTAAAAAGTTCTATAGTGTATGTGTGTATATATATATAGATATAGATATAGATAGCTATACATAGTGGGTATGAGCCCCAACCCTAAGCCGCTGCCGTTTTCAGCAGCCTTCAATGCTCTTCACCCAGAGACTGCAGATTTGGATTTGGGTCTTTGGGGCTCGGGTTGAACACGGGGGGGGGGTTGGGGCTTGGGATCGGTGTTTTTGGCAAAATAATAGGATTGTTCTTCCCAACGGTCCCTCAGTTTGATTAAACTCTAACTAGAGTAACTGGAGTATAATCACTTATGCAAAACCGTTAAATAGAGCAGAATATACTCGAAACCCGGTTATCATTGTGGGACCCCCCAACAACTTCAGACATGGAGAACGAAGCCACAAATCCCTAAGAACCTACATAAAACCTTTCTAAGCCCGGAAAAAACGCTCAACAATCCATAACGCCCATATAACCGCCATCGCTCGTTACACCCTGGCCTCAAACCCTGAACCCCAAACCCCCAAACTCCCAAAGCAGTACAAACGCAAGGCCCTGGACCACACCCTGCTCTACAAACCCTAAACCTTCTCAGCCCTAAACCTTCGAAGCCCTAAACCCTCTCAAACTGAAGCCGTAAACCCTATAAGCCCCAAACCCTGAACTCTTAAACCCTAAAGCCCTAAAAACCTTAAACCCTGAACCCTATAAACCCTATAAACCCTGAACTCCTGAACTCTTAAACCCTAAGCCCTATCAACCCTGAACTAAATCCTAAACCCTATAAACCTCAAACCCTGAACTCTGTAAACCCTGTACACCCTGAACAAAATCCTAAGCCATATATACCCTGAACCCTTAAACCCTGAACTGCTGAACCTAAACCCTATAAACCCTAAGCCCTATGTCTCAAACCTTAATCCCTGAACCCTGAACCCTCAACCTTAAGCCCTGAACCCTCAACCCTATAAACTTTCCTTTGGTGAGTAGGGGATGGAGGAATGGGGTACAATTTTAACTACTATTGCTACTCTTCTTCCATTCCCTACTAACCAAGGGTAAGTAAAGCCTGAACCTCCAGCAGGAGCTTTGTCGATCGCAGCTGCGGCAGCTATGGGAGGATCTTCAGGAGCCCCCAGCACTGTGGCAAGGGTCCAGAGAGAGAGTTCTTGTTTAGGTATCTCTAGGGGGCTCCTTTAAGGGTTCCTTTAATGGATCTACAGGAGTTCCTTTAAGGTGTTCTTTTGTTTAGGGGTTTAGGCTTTGGGGTTTGAGTGTTTGGCCGAATCCGAAAAAGAGCTCTTGTAAAGAAGGGTTTCAGGGTCCAAAGGGCCGAAAGAATGTGGGCTAAGAATTAGCGATTTACTAGAGGTCTAGAACCTTTTTGTTTAAATAGGGTTTCACTAGAACTAGGTGAATTAGGTATTCGTCTCTAGGCTCGGAGGCCAGTATTTGGTAGAGTATACAGTACAGATGATTGTTTGGTACTTGGGCTCGTAGGGCGTGCCTCACTGCCTTAGGGCTTTGTCTAAGGGTCTAAGGCACTCGGTTTGGGGGGTCATGGATTTAGGGCTTTGGCTTTTAGGCTTCAGGGGCTAGGCTTTGGGGTTTGTAGAGGTTTAGGGTTAGCTAGAGTCGAAGGTCAACGAATATACCTTATATCATAATATGAAAACCCTGGGCCCAAACCCGAAATCCTAAACCCTAAACCCCAAAGCAGTCCTATACCCTCAACCCTAAACCTTCAACAAAAAAACCCAAAACCCTTCACCTCAAACCAATCCTAAACCCTAGGCCCCCAAACACAGGACAGCAGCAAGACAGCCCCCCGAGTCGACTTGGAGGCTTTGGCAGACCTGGCGGAGAAGATCTCTGTCCCTCGCCGCAGAATCCTCAAAAGATGTTTAGTTCCCTCAAAAGGGAGTTTCGAAGCGAAGGTGGTATTGTGATGGTGTTGTTTGGGTTACGTATCTTTCTATCCACCTAACTACCTTTCCATGATAGAAAGGTAGTTAGGTGGATTTATCTGTCTATCCTGCTTTCTGTCTACCTATCTATCTATATCTATATAGTCTATATATATATATACATATATATATGTACATATACATATGTATAGCTGTCTATCTATCTACTTATCTCTCTATCTATCCGTCTATCTATATTGTTATATACATACATGTGTTGTGGGCTTTTGCTTTCTGTTTTGCGAAAGGGTGAGTGGCTCCGAAAGGCATACGGCTAGACGGATCATGGAACAAGCCTGTGCTTAGAAGTGCCGTTAGCACTGTTTGTTTTGATGCTCACATGTTGATAGAAATCTTATTCGAGTCTTTATCGGGGTTTCAGGACCTTTCACGCCGTGATGCCGGATTGCGACAAGCTGAAAATCAACAGTAGCAGTTTGGGCGTTTTCATAGGGTCTAGGGGGCAGCAGCGCCAAAAAAAATCCTCGGTTCCCCAGTAATTAGTACCCTTTTGAATTAGTACCCTTTTGCCCTTGTCTCTTTGTGGGTTCCCCTATCAAAGCCAAATGGTAGGAAACAGGGAACCTCAAAATAATTAAGGGGTACTGGTGGGGACCCAGCATCCGCCTCGAAGCCAACAGCCGCAAAGAGGCTTGTGCCTGCTTCAAGCCGGATGGCGTCTTGGAGACAGTTGTCGAGGAGTCTGTTTAGGGCGTAGGACGATCAACATATACTTGGTGCTGGTAGGCCGTGACAGTACGTACGCATGTGGGTACGTACGTGTGTGTGTGTGTATGTATGTATGTACGTAGGTATGTATGTAATGTATGTATGTAATTATGTTCGCATGCAGGTCTGTCTGTCTGTCTGTCTGTCTGTCTGTCTGTCTGTCTGTCTGTCTGTCTGTGTACGTACATTATATATATAAATAAATATGTATATGTATATGTATATGTATCTACACGTACCTATGTCACATTGCGCGCGGAAACAGAGGACTCGAGTGCTGCGCCCACGCGCACTGTATCTGCATATGTAAGTCATTTGTACAAACACGTGCCTGGCCCCATGATTCATTCCAGGCCCCCAAAACGGCACCCGCAAACGGGAAGCTGAACACACTGCCCTTCACTGTGGATCCTAAGTCAACAGGACAATCCTGAACTCCAAATCCACGTGGCCTGAAACCACAGATCCCGAAAGCCTTCAAACCTAAACTGTTTAGGGTTTCCGGTTTAGGGCTTATAAAGCCTAGACTTAGCCCTGAGTAAGCCACGTTCAACCCCAAACCCCAAAGCCCCCTATAAACCCTAAACCCCTCAACAAATCTAAACCCGCAAACCCTGACAGCCCCATGTGCCTCAAGACGTCTCGCACAACTGTTCAGGGTTTTCGGGTTTACGGTTCGAGCTTTTGGCGAGGTCCCAGAGGATGTTTTTGCTTCCGTTGTACAATGAAGTCCCCATTGTGGCAGGGGTTTAGGAATGTTCAGGGGGCTTGGGTGTTCCAGCCTGCTGCTTCGGGTTGCAGTTGGCATTCGAGGTTTGATTTCCAGGAATTAAAGGCTTCCTCATACCTAGAACCTTTCACCGGGTTCTTACTAAGGAACTTTGACCGTGTAGTTTCCACAATGTCACTTCTTCACTACGACGGTTGATTGAACTATTGGCTAAGTTCCGCAACCTCAAACCATGTAGAACCGAAGAAACTCTCCAAACTCCTACAAACCTGTGAAACAAGCGTAGCATAATGACAAGATCAGGCCACTTTCTGCCTTGGTCCCCATCCACTGAAAGGCTCATGGGAGTTGCTAACCAGGGTTCCATAAAGGGTTCCTTAAAGGGCTCTATAAGACTAAGAGATCTCCAGGCGCAGGCTTAGAGGCCCTAATTACGGTGCGTATAATCATTTTTGTACTAGATCCTCCAATTCATCCCAGAACCCGAAAGTTTAGGCTCTAGTGGCGTAGGTCTAGACGTTTTAAGCCTCTCTGTTGAAGTTCCGATTGACTGCCGGGCTGTCGCGAGCATCGGAAACGCCAGCGGGCGGAGTGGCGTGACGACGCATGCCACGGCAGTAGCAGTCGCAACTTGGCCAAAACTACGAGGTCGTCGGTCGAGCCAGTCATGCAACGAATGCTAACAATCGTTGCTGCTTCTCTTATGTGAGAGGCTTCCGCTTTGACGCCGAAGTCCAAGCCCAAGGGCAAATCAACGGCCCGGGCACAGCGCAGCTGACCTTGACAATCCCAAAGGGTCCAAAGTACCTATATAGCAGAATGTAGGGTGTGAATATTAGGAATTACTTATAGTCTCCATTGTAGTTCTTTTTTGGGGTTACCTTATAGGACCCTTAAAATATAATTGGTTAAACCAAAAAAAGGAACTACAATGGAGACTATAGGTACTATATTTGGGAAGTAGCGCAACAGCAACATACCGCAACAACAGTCAAGCGTGACAACCTAGGATCCTCACCCCGGGCTGCAAGCCCCAAACTTCAAGCCCTTTAAGCTGTGAGGTCAAAGCCATAGAGGCCTAAAGCTTTAATTATGCCTTAAACCCCTATCAGGAGCTGTTTCTCGCCACCATTGCAGATCTGCGCCACGTCTGCAGGGGTATCCGCAGCCTTTGGGGTTTAGGGTTAAGGGTTTGCTTGAGGCTTCAGATCAAAAAAATCCGGCACCTTAAATTAAACACTTACAATACTAGTCAGTAGTAACCATACCTTTATACTAATCGCATCCCGGTTCTGCCATGCATTGAAACACGAAAGCTGCCCTAAATCCTAAAAACCATGAAGCCCCATGCCCCTCCACCCTCAACCCCAAGGATGTCAGTGGCATGAGTATCCAACGGCCGGCACAGTAGAAGCTTGAGTGCACCGGTAGCGTCGGCGTTTCAGGTTTTAGAGCTTTGCGCAGTTTAGGATGTGTGTGTGTGTAGGGTTTAGGATCAGGGGTTTAGGGTACAAGGCTTAGAGGGCGTCAGAACCCCAAACCCATCACCTCAGCTAGGCAGGCCCCCTAAACCCTAAAATCGTACACCACCCTAAACCCCTTTTCCCCTAAACCCAACGGGTTTTCATGTTGCCTTGTTTGATAGACGAAGATCTTCGTGACCAGCCATTTGTTATCGGTGAAGGTTTGGGCGTTTAAATCTCTTCCCCCTTCCCTGGTTCGGTTTTGTTTGTTCCTCCTCTCTCTGCGTCCTTCTTTCTCTGCGGTGCTTTCTTCTTATCCTCGGACTTCTCTGCTTCTCCTTCTCCATGCACCTGTCTTTTAGTCTGCAGTTCTTTGGTGCGATCCACGGTCTTCCTTTCTGTCTCTCTCATTCTCTCGCGAGCTTGTCGTCGCCTTCTCTCTGACACTGTGAGGATGTATTTCCGCTTCGCCATCCTCCTGGACGCTCCTCGACCGCATCCATCCCGCCGCAAGCACTTCACGAGCCTGAGGCTACATCGCTAGACTTCTAATATAGGGCGCTTAATAATTAGAGCAGGGTCTTCGGGTATATTATACTGATACTATAACAATAATAAGGAACCCCGAAACAGTATAGGTAATTAATCGTTTAGGCCCCTATAGTAGATTACTTAGATTGAGGAAGGTTCGGGCTTCGCGAGGACCAGGGCCTTTGGGGTGTAGGTAAAATGGTGTAGGTTTATCCCCGAAACCTACCTATAGTCTCCATTGTAGTTCCTTTTTTTGGTTTAACCAATTATAAATTAAGGGTCCTAGAAGGTAACCCCAGAAAGGAACTACAATGGAGACTATAGGTATCCCTGAATCGAGGGTCCTTTTCTTCGAGAACCCTTTTTTTGGAGCTTGTGGTACATGAGCTCGACCCGCAGAGGAGGAGGCTGCGTAACTAGGAAATAAGTAGAGTCAAGCCTTATCATGTACAGCCTGTATAGCTTTGCATTGACCTCTTCACGAAGATAGTATGTGTATATGCATGTACGCCAGTGTATGTATACATGTTCATTTCAAGGCAGCGGCTCACATGATTGTCCACTATAGCCCCTATCCTGTAAAGTGGTAACTTCAGTTCATTTACATACATGTGTATATATATATATATATATATATATTTATACATATCTATATATATATATATATATACATATATCCTTTCTCAAAACTTCGTCTTTATTCTATATACCGGCATAGTAATCCGCAATCCGGCTCTTCCGTCCCAGGTCAATTGGCTGGTGCGCAACAGCCTTCTGCCCTTTGTAGACTTGGCTCCATCGCCCCAGACCGCTCTCGACAGGCCTTAAAGGAAACTCCAGAAAGTTGGAATATGGTTTCATGGTAGGATACCCTATAATTTACCATAGAAGGGTTAGGACAATCATATTCCAACTTTCTGGCTTTTACCTTAGGGTTTACTGAGAGGCCTTCGCCTGTGTGTTGACATGAAGACTTTCTCAGAGGTTCAGGGCACTCAGTGAGTAGGGTTCGAAGTACCTGAAGTGGGGGCATAGCTAGAATATACTGTAGGGGTCTGAATGTATCGAATTTGCTTTTGGCGGATAGGATATCACGAATATTCCTTTGGTTGTTCAGGCCAAGTATGCCCTGACCATAAAGCTGAGGTCTAAACCCTGGGGTGCATTTGCAGACTCTTGTGACTTAGAGAGTCTACTTAGTGCCTATATCTCATCTTACTGTATGTAACTAAAAGGTAACTCATAGCCTCCTTTAGCATGGTGTTTGTGCCTAAAAGCCCTGAACTGTTGGTCCTCGGAGATTTTTGAGATTAACATGCAGTTTCTAAGTAACCTTGTGATACACCGTTGGACCCCGGTAAACCTGCATCAGCTGTCAAGACCCTTTGGAATCCTTTTGCAAAAAGACAACTATGTGTCAAGGGCGCTTCAAGATTAAACCACTAAAACCTATACTCAAAACCCTAAACCAGCCCAAACCGCTAAACCCTGAAACGAAAATCCTAAACCGCCCTAAACCCAAAACCACCCTAAACCCTAAACCGTAACCACTACACCCTAAACCACCCTAAACCCCAAATTCTCCGGCCAGGCTCTTGCGCCAGCAGAAGCCGCGACTCCTGGGCCATCTGAAATACGCATTCTGGCTGCACCCAAAGATCCCTTTAAGTGAACCCCAAAACCCGAAACCCTAAACCCTAAACCCCAAAAGCCCCTAAACCCGAAACCCTAAACCCTAAACCCCAAAAGCCCCTAAACCCGAAACCCTAAACCCTAAACCCCAAAAGCCCCTAAACCCGAAACCCTAAACCCCTAAACCCCTAAACCATAAGGGTCCCTTTACAGGGATCCTTCAAGGCTTCCAAGGTCCTAGGGTCCCCCTTAAAGGGATATACCCCTAAGTCCCCTAAGGGTTCCTATAAGGGTATTTACAGGTTTCAGGGTTTAGGGTTTAGGGTTTAGGGGACTCCGATATCCCTTAGTTAAATTAAGGAGTATACCTTACATTCTGATCAGATCCCTAGTATGCTTTAAGATATATTCCTTGATTGAGGGATATTGGAGTCTCTGGGCAGCTCGCAGGTTTTTTACGAAGGATTCGGGGTTAGGGTCTAGAGGTTTAGGGGTTAGGGGTTAGGGTTTACGCGGCTTAGGGAAAGCACAAGGTTTTTTTCAGGATTCACTGTTGGACTCTGGCGGGTTTTGGTAGCAGGTAAACGGCCCAGAGATGCACAGTTTCCTTACACGAAAGTAGGTACAACGCTTCCTGCGAGATTTAAGAAATGCGTTTCAGTGTTTCGTACAAGGGTCGAGGGAAACTCCATTATTCCCCGATAAAGGGTATCTCCTGGGCAGATTGAGGCAGACAGAAGGTAAATTCCCCGCACAGGGCTTAAGCTCTGGTGTCGGGTTTTTCTGCGCCAAGTCCTCACAAGGGCGCTCTTGCCGTGACCCACCCCGAAAGCTTAAACTCTCATCCTTCAACCCCGTGCCCTTGTAGACCAGTTCATACGAACACTTCAAGCAACCTTCAGCCCATAGGGTCCTAAGTAAGTATATAGTAGAATGTAACTAGGATGCCCAGTAGTACCCTTATTCCATTTTTGTAGTCCTAGGTCCCTTATAAAGTTACCCAATACCAAAAAGAGAGGCCTTTTTATTCTTAGGTTACTGGGCATCCTAGGTAAGATTTCTGTACTTTTATGACCTGAGGAAGTATCACCCCACAACGGTACCTAGGACCTTTTGGGAAGGCAGGTCCCTAAACCCAGTGCTTGAGGCCAGATTCCAGCAGGTGCTGAAGCAGACGAGGCCGGCATACTATAGGGGTCGTCAATAATTACATATACTGTTTTGGGGGTTCCTTTACGGGTTCCTTTTCAAGGGGTCTATAAGGATGATTACGAACAGGGGTATTATGGGGGTTTAGTACAGGGGCCTTCATAATTACCTATACTAGTTTCGGGGGCTCCTTATTATAATTATGTACAGTATAGTAGGTCCCAAAACCCTTGTCTCATTTTCACGGCCCTTACAGTGCCCAAATAACTTTCCGGACGGCTCAAGAAGCCAAGAGCTTGGGGTTGACCTTAACCCCAAATAGCCTACCTGCCAAAAGAACTCATAACAACGAACGTCAAGAAACGGTAGGTTGATGGGGTTTGGGTAGGTTTTGAAGATAGCGCTTCCTCTGTTGTTTTTTTGTGTTTTTGCGTGTATATAAGGGCTTCGGGATTTGCCTGATGTTTCTTTGACGGATATTGGAAGCTTCAAAGCTTCGCAAGGTACGGTCTAGGCTTGAGATTTTAGGGCCTTGCGATCGGGTTCCTAAATGGTCGAAGAGCAATTCTACCTCTTAGTTGTATTTCTTGGTAACCGTATTTAGCTGAGTAGGTAACCTTTGGCCTTTTCGGGTTTGTACAGTGCTACGATAACTGAAAGGTTAGCCTTTTTGGGCTAGGATACTCAGCACCTACGGTTTGCACGTAAGTCAAGGAGCCTCACTAGTCGAGACGATGAATCGCTAATCTAGGGGCCTTGCTAATTAGAGAAGTGCTTTGGGGTGTCCCTATTTAAGTATAGTAATTATAGCATACCCCTCAAGCCCTATTCTGATTATCAAGGCCCTTACAGACTCGTGAGAGAGAGAGGGAGAGGGAGAGGGAGAGGGAGAGGGAGAGGGAGAGGGAGAGGGAGAGGGAGAGGGAGAGGGAGAGGGAGAGGGAGAGGGAGAGGGAGAAGGAGAAGGAGAAGGAGAGAGAAAGAAAGAAGCATGAGCATGTATCGATGACTTTTCTTCGTTCGAAAAACGGACCTAATATTTCCTCCAGCCTTTGGACATGACTGAACCAACATCGAGCAGGCAGACTGCAGACCAGACCGGAAACGACTTTCCGACATGTCTCCGGCCAGGCTTCATTCCCACAAGGTCCACCGCAAAAGGGACACCCGAAAGGTCTGGATGTGGAAATGGTGTCTTTGTCGGAGAAGAGCAGATCGTGGTTTCCCGCTTTCCATCGTCCAAGCTCTTCCAATCATCCTCGCCAATGTTCCGGACGTGCTCGGATTGGAACAATTGGGTGCCTGATGAGCGCGAGCTGTATTCTAGAAGCTGGAGTAATATCCGTGTTCTTTCTGAAGGGTTCCTGATTACATCCACATATGTTGTTATCCTCTAGGGTTCCTTCATATATCTTTCTGATGTCATCCTATAAAGTTCCTGCTTGTGCTGATATTATAGTCACTTATGGACTTATAGCCTACCCCCAAACCCCAAACCCTATTCTGACTCTTGAGGAGCTCAACCTACCACTTGTGTTTGAAGAGTTTCATGTCTTCTCGGGGTCGAACTCCCAACACTGAACCCGTTCATTGAACGACCCCCCCCCCTCCAAATTCTTCAATGAAGCACTATAGGTAGTAGACGCCCGTCCATCCATCCATCCATCCATCCATCCATAACAAAAGTAAATGTATATTCATTTATATACCTTACAATGTTTGGGGGTTTACGGAGAGGGTTTATACTTGTTGTTTCGTTTGTGTTAGGCCGTCCACCCGAAAACGCTATGGTCAGGTTTGATGGTTCTTCGCCAACCATCACGCTGAATCGCAAGCTGGCGCTTTCCATAAAGGCCGAGGGAGAAAGAATGTAAGCTGCAGGCTTTCACTGTTTCGGGTTTCGGAGCCCTTCTAAGTCCGTTCGTAGTTCTTTGTGACCCTTCAATCAGCTCATTACAGTAGATTCCACTCTCGCCAAACCCTGCCCGAATCATTTAGCACCTTTGCTGGGGTCCCAGGCTTCGTGACTCAAAAGCTGATGTCTTAATTATCGATGCGGAACACTTAGATGGCCTTGCCCTCGTTGGGTTCAAATCCCTGAAACTCCGTCATGGGGGCCTCCTTGATCGGTTAAAGCCTTGAAGCACCCCTCGGTCCCTCCGCATGGCTTGCAAAGGTACGTATTCAGCAGAGAAGCAAGAACAACTCCACTAGGTTTTTGTTCGGAGGTGGTCTGTAGGACTGTTATCTTATCATGGAACCTCATGGCCAATCCAGATATGAAGGGCCCTCATGAAGGTTACCAGGATAGGAACACAGGCCAAGGACATTATGCAGCATGCTTCGTCTGAGGGAGCCAGAGTGGGCTGGTACGGTACTTCATACTTTCATCGTTATCAGCCCAGGTGCTCCGGAACCTTAAGCCTTACTACACCGTCAACCCTAAACCATCCCTGAATGCTGAATAGACCTCAATTGTGTGAATTAAACCCGATATCCCCCTTAACCCCGTAAACCGCCGGAACATCCGTATAGGCTTGTTACGGCACAAACCCCAAAGCCCTAAAGCCTCAAGCTCGAGACCCTTGCGAAGAGCACCTTGCGGCCAGGAGCACGATCGGGTTGACTGGGACCTCCGCAGGAGCTTAACAGGCACGCACTCGGCTGTGTTAGTATTTTAGTTTGCGGGTTAAGGGTGTGTGATCTGCAGAGGGTCTATGAGAATCTAGGGTTCTGAATTTAGGTGTGGTGGTTGCGGGGATTTAGGGTTCAGAGTCAGTACTGATTTTTGCTGCCGGGCTGCTGTGCGGTTTGAGTCGAGGTTTTGTGTTTCTTGGTTGTGTACTAAACCTCAGAACGTAGAAGCTTGGCTAAGTTACTCTGAACCTCAACCTTAAGCCCTAAACCCATTAAGTTACCCCAAACCCAACCCGCAGGCAATGCTAACAATGCTCAAACAGCCTTGAACCCTCGAGGAAATAACAACGGTTTGAAACGTTGCCGTAACGGTTCCATGCAGAGTAGTTTGCAAACATAAACCTGCCCGGAAAGCCGAATCAGTTCTGCACCCAGAGACCCTCAACCGCATACGAGTGCCCCAAATCCCAAAGGCCTGAACTACCCTAAGGCTCCATAGTAGTTCCTTTTGGGGGTTCATATTTAGAATCCTATAAGGTAGTCCCAAAGAGGAACTACTATGGAGCCTCTGGGTAAAGCCCTAGAGTGTCTAAAGTCAGAGGCCAGTTCCTCAACGAGATCCGCCGACTGTCACTGGGTCCAAAGCTCTTTCGCCGGCCTTGGCTGACGCGAGCTGTGAAAGTGCAGTTCAAAGGCACCTTGGCAGAGTTCGAGAGTTGAAGACCCTAAACCATAAACCCTAAAGTTCTAGGGTTTAGGAATTAGGGCCGGTGCAGCAGACGATGGTGTTCGTGTCATCTCGCACGAGCCCTTCTATGTAACACTGTCTAGGTTGCGAGGGCTTGTACTCTAAGTCCTGCGGCCAGGCTTGTTGCTCCCTCCCCCCAAAAGTCTCAGAAACGAAGTGGGCCGGAAAAACAAGATTCCATAGCGGGAGCCTGAATATCATAATCAGCCAAATGAGGTATTCCAAGTTCACAACGGGCCCTCCTGCCTGCCGCCCAATGTTATTGCATGGCCTTGAGCTTCTGCCCTAAAGCTCTCAGCCAACATCGTGCATGTCCGCAGTCGTAGGATCGCGGGTGTGGCAAACTGCAGGTGAAGGCGGCGAAGATGCTGGCGGCTTGTACCGAGAGGCCTTTCCGTTGTTCAAGCTCTCGCGAATGCTCTGAGGAACGGAAGCCGGAATAGCTATCTGCAGATATATATATATAGTTATATATATATACATATATATATATATATATATATATATATATATATTTATATTCATATTTATATTTATATTTATATTTACAATTTTATTCATATGTATTTTTATGTATGTATGTATGTATATACGTATATATATATATATACAAAAATTTCTATATATATATATATAGTATAATTCGTCCAAAACACGATATTAGGGGGCAGCGGACATTACAATCTCCTGCTTCAACCCTCATGGCTTCTCAGGCACTCGAGGCCGTCGTGCGAGAGCTGACTTCCAGGTGACTCGCCTGAATTTCGCTCCTCGAATCTTTTGACTTTTTTCGTGTCAGGTTTCTGGGTTCCCAAACCCCGAAACCCTACTTGGAGGGTCGGGAGACTCATTAAGTCGCCATTTTATAGAGTTATGAGTACCATCACCCCAATTAGGGTCCCTTTCAAGGTACCTATAACTTTCCTTACTACCTACTTGCTAAGCCCCCCGACCCTCCAAGTACACCCCTGATTCCCGACATAATTGGCAGGGACTGTCAAAGTTATCCTCGCAGTCGCAGTCGTTGCTTATGCTTATGCGGTCATAAGGTCTTTTGCATGTTGCATAGCCTGATGCCGGAAGCAGTGCGACCGACTTGAGTGAGTATTGGCCTGTTCTTGCACACAGTGACGGATCCACTGGAGACGATGCGATATTTTTCAGGTATCAGCAGCACGTGGTTTTGTAGTTGTCATAGGCGTCATCGTCGTAGTAATGAGTGTCCGCGCTAGCAGTTGGTCTTGCGCAGCTACTTGGCAGTCGTGGTGGCTTGCCACCCCCCTAAACCTATACCCTAAACCCCTAAACCCCTAAACCCTAAACCCTAAACCCCTAAACCCCTAAATCCTAAACCCTAAAGCCCAACCTGAACCCAAAAAGCCTTGACCTGAGACCATCCAGTGAGGTCGTTGCCCCTCCTTCTGCCCTGCCCAAATGCCGTCGCCGAGGCTGTGTGAGTTTTAGGGTTTAGGAGTTTAGGGTTTCGGGCTTTGGGGTTTAGGGTTTAGGCGTTTAGGGTTGGGGTGCATGCTTTCCCAAAGGGTCCAAAGTACCTATATTAGTAGAATGTAGGGTTTCTGTATTAGAAATTACTATTATGATTTGGGGAAGTATCCCCCATAACGGTACCCCTATAGATCCCGTAAAGGAGCCCTTAAAGCAGCCCCTTTTGATCCCTTAAAGGAACCCTTAAAGGGACCCCTATAGATCCCCCACAGAATAGGATCCTCCGGGTCTGTGGAGAGATGCAGTTCCATCAGCTCACGAAAGTGAACCTTCGCGTACACATGCTCGCAGATTTACAACGCACATGGATGGATATAGCTAGCCAGCCACCTAGCTAGGTGGGTAGATAGAAAGATAGTTAGATGGTAGAAAAGAGGCTCTAGACACATTGAAGATCCCGTCTAACGAAGCCCGAAACTCATGCCGACCTAGCCGTCGAGTCTGCAAACTGTTGCCGGTTGAACGGATCGCTGCTTGAAGATATACCAGAGAACACCCAGCAGGACCCAATGCCTTTTGAACAGCCCATCAAAACTTTGGAAGGTTTCAACACACACTAAATCCTAAAACAAAAACCCTTCAATGGCCGACTCCCAGATGGTTAAAAAAATCTGTTTAGGTTTAAGGGGCAAACCCATCGGCAGTGCTTCAGTAACGACAAAAGGAGACGCAGATGAGCCCTGAACAGCCGGAATCCTAAAGCCGATAGAAGCCGTGAGTGTCATGCCTATAGCACCATAAACCATGAACCCCTAAACCTTAACCGCCTCAAAAACCCTACCCCTGATCCCCTAAAGCCTGTGCGTCATTGCATATGCAGCAAGGTTTCCAAGGGTAAAAGGAGGGACCCTTAATAAGGGCCCCTAGGTATATACCCGTAATATAGCTGTTATATACGCATTATATAGCCCATTATAGGGTAGGGGTCCCCATTAAGGGTCCCTCCTTTTCCCCCATGAAGGTTGGCGAAAATCGAGACTGTTGGATCCTCAACCCCAGCGCAACGTCGTCGACGGCCCTTGCGGGGCTGGCATCCTGCCCGACAGGTTTTTGGGTAAGTTTGGAGCCTTATAAACCCCGCGAAAGAGTAATTACCAGTAGGTTTTCGTAGGTTAAGGGAAGCCTAGTATCCGAAAAATCCGTAAGCTGCGGTTAAAAGACACGAGGGTTCAAAAAAAAGAAAATCCGAAAGCCCTGAATCCCTCGTCGAACTCGAAGCCCTCTAAACCCTAGTTTCCACGGCTGGCACGTCTATGGGTTTCTTAGGGGTACTTAGAAATAATTTTGAATTTTTGGTTATTATAACCCTTAAGAAACAGCTAAAATTTTAATTTGTGCTAGGGTTCTAAGTTCAGTATAGGTTTGGGTTTACAAACTTTGGGGTGCCTGTGTTAGTATGTTCACAGTAACGGGACATATCCAGCAAGGATACAACTGTTAGAACTGATGTTGACACGATATCTACCCCCCCTTACCCCTAACCTGGTATAGAATTGATGAGGTTCTAATGTTACAGGCCTTATAGACTTAATGAGGTTCTATGTAATTAATGTTACAGACCTTCTAGAATTAATCAGGTTATAATGTTACAGGCCTCAATAAAAGGGTTTACTGGGAATGGGTAGGAGATGTACAGTTATAGTATCCTTAAGGGAGGGGGCTCCAAGGGGGGTACATAGCCTAGTGATCCCTGACTCTCCCTAGTACTCCCTAAGGTTCCCCTAAGGATTCCTTGTGCCCTCCCCCCTTGAACCACCCTCCCTTAAGGATCCTATAATACAGGCCTCGAAGGGCATGAAGAAATCTAGGAGGAGCCTTAGCCCTTAGCTTAGATCCCCCAATACCCAACCTTTAAGTTTTTTTGGTTTCTTATAGTTTAGTAGGAATCGGAAAGCTTAACCGTTTTATTTATGTGGCTTATTGGGGGAGTAAGTTAGTAATTAGAATAATTAGGGTTTGGGGCTCCTTAATGCCATAACTATCATACGGAACCCATAGGAATGGTATTGGCAGTTATTTAGGCTTCTACATTATGGGGCGTTTCCGGGACCCGACGCCTCACACTTTGCAGCTCAGAAGACCTGCGTTTGTCACGGAGTTAGCTGGGGGGTTTCAAAACCAAATCCCCACTCAAACCTAAACCATAACCCAAAGCCCCATATAAGCCACAAAGCTAAACCACGAACCCTAAACCCCAACTTTTCTGCAGGTAAGGTAAAGTCCGAGACCCCAAACCCTAAACTTCTGGTCTCCATATAGCCCTCCACCATAAGCCTCTATTCCTTAAACCCCAAACGTCCATACAACCCTGAACCCTAATTCTCTACGCCTACATCTGTCTGAGGAGTTTATGGGCCAGCTGATGGGTGGCTCAGCTGAAATCCTGTGACCCGGATACGGGCTTTTCAGCTCTCGTTCAGGGGCTTGTGCGTTTAGGGATTTGGGTTGGGTTTATCGGGTGTTTACAAGGGTAGTCTAGGACAGGAGCCTAAATGGTAAGAGTCGGGTTTGTAGGGTTCTGTTGAATTCAGATCTCTAGATCTACGTTGATGGGGAGAACAAGGCCAACCGTATGACTTCACCAAGTGTTGTAGGACCACTTGTCAAAATAGCCGGTATGTTTAGTATAATATTTGGGGGTTCCCTGGTTATAAAGTAAAAGCCAGAAGGTTGGAATATGACTATCCTAAGCCCTTTGTGGTAAATTATAAGGTATCCTACCCTGAAACCATATTCCAACTTTCTGGAGTTCCCTTTAAACCTTGAGGAGAGTGAGAGGTGGGATTTTTGGTGTTCATGGCGTCCTCATATGCGCCTTACAGAACCTTGCTAGCCCAAAGGGTCCAAAGTACCTATATGGCAGACTGTGGGGTTTCTATAGTAGGAATTACTATTATATGATTTAGGGAAGTATCCCCCATAGCAGTACCTAGGACCCTTTGGGTAGAACCTTCATAGAATTATTTTTGAACCTAGGTAGAACCCTGATAGAACACAGAACCCTCATGGAGCTCTAAGAGAACGGTAATGATTGCAACCCTAAAGCCCGAATGGAGCCCTGAACTAATTATTAAACCCAAAGCATCCTGGGTACAAAACAGTAATTCCCAATACAGAAACCCTACATTCTACTCCATAGGTACTTCGGACCCTTTGGGAAAGAAGCTTGCAGAGCCTCGAAAGAACCAAAGCTCAGGATTGGCATTGCGGACAGGCAGACAACCGCTGGATTGTTTGCTTTACGATTGTTTGCGTTGGGGTTTGGGCTTTATGGTTTATAGGGGCTTTAGGGGCTTAAACTTTAGGGGCATCAGGGGCTTTAGGGTTTTGGTTTTAGGCCGATTTCAATTTGCCTGTAGCCCGAAATGGCTGACCTAGCTTCACAGGGGATGATCAGGGGATTCTGTGTAGAATCTAGAGTGTAGTAACATAATGACAGTGGTTACAGAATTACACCCTGGGCTCCTTGTGTACCGTTCTACAAGTGTGCAGACGGGTTTCACAGGAGTTTCTACTTGTACGATGTATCATATGGGGACACCGCGCAACCCGGACAGAATTTGCTTTGGAACCCTGAACTCCAAAGCCCCAAACCATTAAAGGAACGAGCATCGCCTTAATCACTCCTCGTCCGTCGCTTGTTCGCTTCCCACCTAACTGCTGAGCCTGATTCGCAACTTCGCGAAGCACGTTTCACGCCTTTCGCTGGGGACTCGGCTCATCTTGCGTCGCACTTTGGCCTTTACAGGCATATACATATACAGTTTATGATCTGACAATAATTCAAGGAGTACATTTCTTGGGCTAGGGTTCTCAGCCCCAAGGGCTCTGTTTCCCTGGTTCCCCTGCTTTTTTGTTTCAGAGGTTTCGAGCATTTAATTTAGGGGTTTAGAGGCTGAGATCCAAAGGGTCCAAGTACCTATACTAGAATGTAGGCTTCTACAGTAGGAATTACTTGCTATATTATGGTTTCTGGCAGTATTCCCCATAAACGTACCTAGGATCCTTTTGGTTTTGGGGACAGAGTTCGTAGCTTCGGAGGATCCTCCAGGTTCCGGGTTTATGGGGTCAGGAGCCTATAGGGATTACTTGGAGAGTCGGGGGACTTAGTAAGTGGGTAGTAAGTAGAGTTATAAGTACCTTAAAAGGGACCTTAATTGGGGGTATGGTACTTAAAACTCTACAAAATAGCTACTTAATAAGTCTCCCGACCCTCCAAGGGGTCTCGAGCTCAGGGGAGAAGGTCGGGGCTTAAGGTGAATCCTCAATCCCAAACGCTAAACCCAAGAAGTAGGCCTTCACAAAATGCGCTTGGCATGCACTATACTACAGGATTCATAGACCGGGATGGTGATCGCTTGATTAATCTACTTCTGAAAGCAGCCCAAAATCGACGGACAGATATGGTTTCGGTGCCTTTCAATCAAAAGCCTTAACATACGACTCCTTAGAGCCTTACTCAAGGTTCTTTATGGTAACCTTAGCCTAGGGCCCTAAACCCTCGAACAAAAAGCCTACACCCCTAAACCCCTAAACCTTCTGAGCCTATCGCAGGGGATCTTCTTCCTTGCGCCCTCGCGCCCTTCACTTTTAAAGGCTTGACGAGCTTAGGGTTTACATAGGGGTTTCGGGTTTCATGGAGGGTTGAGGCTTGATCGTGTTGCAGGCTTTTGTTGCTTCTTGCAGTTTCGGTCTTTGGTGTTTTGGGGATTCGATGCTGCGCAGGGCACAGCTCTTGTTTTTCTTGGAGAACGGTTACGGTTCCGGAACACCAATATTAGTTCTCGAATCCTAGATCCTGCACCCCGCACAGACCATCGGCACAGTTTTCTCCTCAGCCATTACATTCCAAATCAATACCTTTCTGCTGAGATTACACCCAAAATCCAAGGGACAAACCCTCATGAAGAGGTAGTCAAGGCTTCAGGTAGTTGGGGCGGTCTATAGGCAGGTTTGGGGTTTGTAGTGTATTGTAGAGGAGCGTTTTGGGCTGAGGTCTGAGGGCTTCGGGTCTTGTGCTCAAGGGTTTGAGTTTCGGGTTCAAGCCTTTCGGGTTAGGGTGTACCTAAACCGCCAAAGTAGGTAAAATTATGCCCCGGTACCTATAAATGGCCATTGTTCTACATACTTTGGGGGTTCAGGTAAATGTTTGTGTTTGAGGTTTGGACGTTTCAGGGACCAATACTGTAGACTAGCCGTGAGTGACACGCTGATCTGGTAGAACGGTAACCCTAAGGGTCCAAAGGACCCAATAATTAGGTACTTGGGTTTAGGATACTAGTTATGTAGCTCAATATTTAGGAGAGTATCTGAGTATTAGGTACTTGGACCCTATGGGTAAGAGTAGTTGCAGGCTCGCAACTGGTGGGAGTATATGACTGCTGTTTAATTCCTCAGCCCGCGCCCTGCATCCCAAAATCCTTAACCCCAAACCCTAGATTGTAAATCCCTACTCCCCGAAGCTCTTCAGCCCTCTGCCCTACACCCCAACCCCTCAACCGTCATCCCTAATCCCATTTGTCCAGGCCTGGTTGAAGAAGAAAGGACCCTGGAGGACCGCCCGTGGGCTTTTTCTGCATCCGAAGATTCCGGGCTTACATCTGGGCAGTTGTCAAAATTATGGTTTAGGGTTTAGGGTTTAGGGTTTAGGGTTTAGGGTGTTGGGGCCCTAAAGATTCGGTGCCGTATTATATTGAGGACCCACAAAGGGACCATAGTTTTGACAATCACCCATCTTGAACATCCACCCAGAGTGTCCAAACACCCAAATAGTGGGGTTTCAAGGTCCAAAAACCATTCAGAGTATGGTTTTTAGGACCTGAAACCCTACCATTTAGGTACTTGGACCCTCTGGGCCACCGGCTCAGGGGGTTTACGAGCTAGATCCCTGAGCTGCAAGTAGTGTATATTCAACGGATACGATCCTAGGTTTTGCAAGTAACCACTAATGGTACTGCAATCCGGATCTAGGTAGAGAAATGCTTTTGGCTCTTGCACTTTTCACACTTAGTGCCGTATTGGCTGTAACATGAGTCTCTGAGGGCAGCTAGTGGCTAGTGTCGCCTGTTCAGCATTTCGGGTTGAGTCCACGCTGGTGGTGAGAGTTCAATGCCTCTCAGATAAAGCACGACTACCCTCAAGGGTCCTAACAAATCGGGGAACCTAAAAATTGAGGATTTCTGAGACCCAAAAGACCCTTAGGGGTTTAGGGTTTAGGGTTTAGGGTTAGGGTAACTACCCTGAAGCCTCGCTGTTTCACAAGCATCTCCGTGGCAGTGATATCAAGTGTTCTTTCTTTGCTGAAGTGTTTCTATTCGTGCAACCCCGCAATATCTACACCGAATGTCTATACGTACAGCAAACATTCGTCTATACATTTAGTTATGTATATATATATACATATTTGCACATATGTATAGATGCATCGATCGGCAGATAGATAGACAGATAGATGGATACATACATGTACAGATAAAGATGTTGCGTGGATCTAGGGAGGCTACCGGTGATCTTACATAGTACATTCCTAGGTAGTCTTAGAGAGTCCCTTTAAGCCCTTCTGAACCCTATTTCTGGCTCTCTTGCGAGGGACCTGACTGAGAGGGTCTGTATCTCCACGGGTCCCCTAATCCTACCTCTATACAAGGAACCACATCCCTGACGCGTTTAGGGTTTAGGGTTTAGGGTTTCCAAGCCTCCATGTCACCATGTTTTGGACGAGATGGTTTCAGTATTCTCGGAGGCATGAAGCCCGAACTTAGAGACTCCAATATCCCTTAATAAAGGTCATTTAGAGATCCTGCTATAATTTCAGGTACATGCCTTTATTATGGGCTATCCAGGGGCCCCAAAGTAGTTCCTTTTTGGGTATACTACCCACAAAGGAACTACTTTGGGGCCCCTGGGTAGTGGAGTGTCTTGGAACGCATGGTTTGCATCCTCTACGGAAGGGGCCCCGGGTTGCAGTTGAGTTGAGTGATTATCAGAGCTAGGGTTTAGGGTTTAGGGTTTAGGGTTTAGGTTTTGTTTGGGGCAGATCTTCTTTACCCTGTGTTGCATGCCTTGGCTCTGAAGAAACCGGAATTGGAAACACAAGTTCTGGACCTTGAGCGTGCTCCAAACTCCAAACACATCCTGAACTCCAGCCTAAAGCCCACAAGACGAAACGAACCGACCCTAACCAAACTACACCTTGAACCCTGCACCCTAAACCCTAAGTTGGTACTTAACGACCGAGGTATATACTATATAAGTCCTAAGCCCCTCTAAACCTTAAACCCTAAACCCTCCTAAACCTGGTGTTCTAGCTAACCTTCGGGGCAGTCGGAAAAGAGGGTTCCAAAAAAAAAAAAAAAACAAACCTCCTAAACGGGCTTTGGATCCTTTGCC